CCCCTCCCCGGCCCCGGCGGGGACGCGGCAGCCCGGTTCCCCTCAGCCCCTTGGCGGCTCGGCGCCCCGCGGTGACCCCCGCTGCTCCCCAGCCTGCCTCAGGCCTCTTCCCTCGCAGCCCCAGCTGCGACTCCCCGCCGGGATGGGACTCTCGTCCTGTGCTTTAGATAGCCAGGGTGCGAGCAAAGGTGGGGATGTACTGGCAAAAGGACAGGGAGGGTTGGTGGCTCTACGGCAACAAAACCCAAAATTGCGAGTGCTGATGAGATGAGTGAGGCGCAACCCCACCGATGTGGTTCCTGGTGAGCCTGCGGCCAAGCGGGGCACAGCCAGAGCCTGCTGTCAACAAGCGCAACCCTGAAGAGAACCAAGGGTTCTGCAAGAAAAGCAATGCTGAAGAGAACCAAGCGTTCTGCAAGAAAAACGACGCTGAAGAGAACCAACCGTTCTGCAAGAAAAATGACACTGAAGAGAACCAACCGTTCTGCAAGAAAAATGACGCTGAAGAGAACCAACCGTTCTGCAAGAAAAACAACCATGTCACCTCGTTTTGTCATGCCGATTTGCTGGGGCCCGTTGCTGCCATGGAAAACGGCACTGCCAGCAAGACGGTGACAAAAGGAGAGCTTAAGCCCCTGCTAAAAATCACACTTTAATGGGAAGCGCAGGACAGTAGCTTGAAACCAGAGATTCTCCCCATTGTGCTAAAAGTAAAGCTGCTTTTGGGGATGCTGGCTTATGTGGTTGTAAAGAGGGTTTTTTTATCTCTGCTGTTCAATGAAAGAGGCTAACAGTTATTAATACGGTACACAGTAAACAGTAAGAAGGTGAATACCTGTGCAGCAAATACCTCAAGGCACGCAGGGTAATACCGCTCTCAATGGCTGCGTGTGTCTGTTCCTCCAGGGGACTTGAAGAGCGGATGAATGATGCTAGATCAGTGCCCACGTTGCACAGTGTTTACCATACATGGCCAAAACCAAAAGCTAGTCTAACTTCCTTATACGCTTTGGCCGATATTTGCAAATTCATTTGCATGTGGTTAGGTGCTTAAGGGACCTAATTCTTCAGGGGACCAACACACCCGTAACTCCCCTCATAATCCTTCAGAATTTGGAGAAATATGTGTGTTGTGGTGAGCTGAGCTGAGCTGAGAAGCCTCCTCTTCCCGGTGAAACTGCGACAGGACTGTGAACTACACCCTGTTAAGTGATAGCTGGGTGTTAAAACATGCGGAAAGCCTCACAGAGATAGATTTGTCCTGGTTTTGCTGGTGATTACAGCTGATGGAAACATCAGATGCCACAGTAGCTACAAATTAAACAAACCAATGTTATCCAACATCTGTTAAACTTTGACACTAGTTTAACCACTGATTCAATAAGCAGGAAAGTCTCTCCTGCATACTGAGCAACACCTTGATTAAAAAATTATACACCCAAAGATTAGAGTTGCAAGCCTGCATCCTTGCCACGCACTGCCCACGGCACCAATTACTGTGAAATTAATACCTTCCTTCTGAAAGCCAGCCCAGCACACTTACTCTCCACCCTCCTCCCTCAAACAATCTCTTTAAAGCTAAAAAAGAAGAAGAAAACGAAAGCAGTTTGGCAGCCTCGGAGCAGACCCGCAGGTAATCTGTAGTTTAGTGGGTTTAGATTGTGATTCATATTTTCCACATAGGTACGTGACTTGCTGAAGGTCACACAATGAGTCAGTGATAGAGGTGAGTGTCTTGACTGCCAGTCCCACAGCCATTAATTTATTAGGAGCCTTGAACCTGTGCGTGTGGCTTAAAACTTTATAAAAAACTATTAATACAAGCATATGAAATCATACTTTAAAATATACATATGTGTAGCTCCTTCTAGCTCAAAACAGTGGGCAATCTTGAAATTATATTTTAATCATGTACCAGGTGATCCTTTACCCTGTATTGAAAAACAACGGCAAAGGCAGCAGTACCCAGCACTACCCAACAGCTTGGAAGAGAAATCAAGGAAGATTTTTGGTATCCATCTAAAAAGAGAGCGATGCACAGAGGACACAAAGTGAAATTTGTCCTGAGAAACCTGATTGAAACCTAATCCTCTCAGTAACTGCCACCTGAATGGTTGGTTCCTGGTTCATGTTGTCGCTGCAGGGATGGATACACCTGTAGCACAGCTTGCTCGACATGGCCTTGGAACAGTCACTAAGGATGGACTCGAAAGGAAATGATACCTGTTGAATTTACACTAGCACTTCCTTAAACATTTGGGTGGAAATGCTCCAAAGATCACTCAGATCCTGACTTGGATTAATGAGCCATTTAGATCACAACAGCTCATTGTACAAGGTGATGAAGAAATGACATGAAGAAATTTCGGGCTGAAGTCTTCAACAATGGAAGGAATGGCTAAGATTTTACACATGCTCTTTGGTTCCACTGTAAACAGTTAATCTTCATCACTTCAGCTGAATAAAATCATTCTAACAAACAGTACTTAAATTATAGCCAGAGTGATGTAAGCCTAACAACTTGTCAAACTATATCACAAATTCTAATTTTTGTAAAGGAAAATATCCTATTACCAAATTATTGCAGCTACAAGGAACCATACAACAAAAGTTGTCCTTCTATTTTATCAGTACCAACACGCCTGATTATTAAATCTTGCAGAAAAGATTCAGAATTTATTCAAAAATACATTTCACTAGTTTTATCCATCCCACATATTTTGCCCTCCACTACATCAATGCACGATTGCTGCAGTCTATCTCACAGCCTTTATACGGAACAGCACTGTGTCTACAGACTCCACCTCTGAAACTTATGTCAGCAGCTATATTTAGCTTGCTTGCAAATATGCATCAATTCCATCACTGCAATAAATCATGCTGGTTTGTTCCTATGATGATCTTGACATGCCTTACAAGTAATGCATTCGGTATGCCCCACAGCCTTCCTTGTTATTAGTTAGAAAAGGTAAAGAAAGATACAAACACCTGAGGCACCTCTTTCTATGAGAAATTTTGATGGCTTCTTTGGCCTTCACTGATATTATGCAATTTGGCTTGGAGTCTCTGAGCAATCTTAGATGGACGGCAGCCGAGTCATTCAGAACCAGTAAAGTCACTTGAGGGATGAATTTGCCTCGAACATTTCAATTTGCTTAAATCCTCACTGCTAAGTATATTCTGAATGAAGGAAAACGGCTTACAGAGGGTTTAGAGAGATCAGCACTTTAAAGTCCTGTTATTTTGCAGCTTAACTTTTAAGTCATGCAAAATATGCCAGACATGACAGTTTGTGTTTCGGAGCTTGGGTTTGCAGATATCCAAGTTATACAACTTTTGAAGGACATTTGTGTCCACTATTTATCTATTTATTTCTGGAAGGCTTTTGATTTATTATTATATTTAAATAACTTTACAGGAAGCACTAGGTTCTCCCACCTGAAAGTTGCATATTTTTGTATTTCTTCTTCTATGGCTCTGGCAATCTATATACGGAAGGCCAGATTGAGCAGCGTTGAGAAGAGGTGCTCCCATTGGAATCCGTGATGTGATCTTACGTTTCACTTAACATTACTGAAACGTAGTGCTTTTCTTATGCAGGGTAATCGGAACTGATTGCAATGAAAAGAAAAAACACCAGGCCATTTTCCATGCGTGGGATAGCATTAGATTTACTCTTTCTGCCTTGTTTTCTCAGTGTCCATTGGGCACATATCGAGTGGCAAGGGTAACTTTATTAAACTGCTTACAAGCCTGATTTTTAAGGGACATTTCAATGATCATCAAACATTGAGCAGCTGCCAAGACAGAATTGCACTAACAGCGACCACGTAACAGCTCTTGATTATGGCTAATCAATTCTGTCTCTTGGACGGGATTACGTGGTCTGCCCAGGGAAGTGTTGCCCTGTGCTGATCTGTTCCCCAGATCCAGCAAAGGGTTTGGCTGGAGAGAGAGAGAGGGAGCGCAAAATCCA